TTTAAATGCTTTTGGTTGGGAGGGCATATATAAGATTAGTGTTAGTAAAGAACGAGCATCTTATATTTATATCATGTGTATGTGTTCTTTTAGTTCGACTCCAAACACGAAAAGATTTAATCAAATTCAGCTTGTATTTCATTGCATGTTATGTACTTTACAAATGATTTTGTGCTGTTTGCAGGGTGCAGGAATTGCCCTCCGTTCACATCTATCCGACTTAGTTTGTTGTATGTTAGAAAGTTTGTCTAGTCTTGAAGACCAAGGACTTAACTATGTTGAGGTATCATTTAATGTCGGAAACTCCAGTTTGGTTGCCCTTGACATCACTTTAAGCTTAAACTTTTCGTGTTTCAGTTGCATGCTGCTAATATTGGCATAGAAACCGAGAAACTTGAAAATCTACGAATTTCAATCTCGAAAGGCTCTCCAATGTGGGAGACTCTTGATCTGTGTATTAATATAGTGGATAATGAATCACTTGAGCAGTTGATCCCTCGTCTCACTCAACTTGTTCGAGGTGGTGTTGGCCTCAATACGAGGTCAGTTATTCAAAACCTTCTATTAATAAAGAACTGATTATTCTACAATCGTAACATGGGGTTCCTTCCTATTCCGGTATTCTTATGTATGCAGTCTTTTGTATTTACTACTGTGTATATCGTTACGAAGAAATCAGTGTGCCAGTATATATCTTAGAAGTAGGAAATTAACAGCATCGTGTCCTATTCTGATGAACCATTTGTTACCAGTGTCATCAATCTGCCATGCCATTGAAAAAGGGTTTAGGAAATTAGACGGGGAATCTTGATTTTTTTTCATGACTTGTAAAGAGTTACCGAGAGAGAACTATATTCACATAAGGTAGACTTAAGTAACTTTGGCCATTCAATTAGTTTATTATAGTGACGTAATTCCATACCTTCTTTCCCATCCTAATGAACTCAGACTGCCTCAATGGTCTCGTTTAACTGCTTTAGTTTAGTGTAGCGGTTTTGTCTCTTGTTAGATTTGATGTAGTAACTGTTGAATTTAATTTGTGGAAATTTTGTTTTCTTCCACAGGGTTGGTGTTGCCAGTTTTATCTCCTTACTAGTGCAGAAAGTAGGTGCCGAGATAAAGCCGTTCACTGGAATGCTACTAAGACTTTTGTTTCCTGTTGCCAAGGAAGAGAAAAGTTCTGCTGCAAAACGTGCCTTTTCGAGTGCCTGTGGCATTGTATTGAAGTATTCTAGTTCCTCTCAAGCCCAAAGCTTAATCGAAGAAACTGCAGCTCTTCACTCTGGTGATAGAAGCTCCCAGATTGCATGTGCGAGTCTTTTTAAAAGCTTCTCATCTACAGCTTCTGATATTATGAGCGGTCATCAGTCAGCTATTGTTCCAGTCATATTTATTTCCAGGTAAACCATATGAACTGCATATCGTTGAGTCTGATGCATGTGTTCAATACCATTGCCTAGTAAGATCCATACAGTATTTTGTAATTTGGCCATCTACTATCTTTTCTCCTACAAAGATTTGGCCGATCTGTGTACACACAGATACATCATTACACTATAAAGTTACAGTTTTCGTTATTTTCACAATATTAGAAAAGCTTACAGTTATTATAAATTGCAGATTTGAGGATGACAAACAGATTTCAAGCCTCTTTGAGGAGGTGTGGGAAGACATCACAAGTGGTGAAAGGGTCACGTTGCAGTTGTTTCTGCAAGAAATTGTGAATCATATTTGTGAGAGCATTACATCATCCTCGTGGGCAAGCAAAAAGAAGGCAATTTATGATCTTTCTCGTGCCAATTTTCTCTCTTTTTGTACAAATTGATTCCTCCGCTGACATTGTTGTACTCATTGATGATTTAAACTTGCTTTCAGTCTGGTAAGGCAATTTCCAAGCTAACTGAAGTCTTGGGTGAATCATTATCGCCGGAACACAACAAATTGCTGCAGTGTCTTATCAATGAAATGCCTGGACGCTTATGGGAGGTAGGACAAACTTTCATTCTAATTTTCTTTTTCTTTTCCGTGGTGGTTTATAAAAAAAAAGTTGAAATGGGATGAAATCTATAACAGGATTAAATTGGAGAGGACTAATATTTTGTTTCTCCAGTAAAAAAAAGCTAGACCTCTGCTCTACTTGTCCTTACGGAGGCACATTTTCTGCATTAGTTGTTAAAAGTAATACTTGTATTCACAGGGAAAGGATGCTCTTTTGGATGCCCTTGGTGCTCTTTCAGTCTCTTGCCACGAGGCAATAACTAAGAAGGATCCAAAAACACCCACAGTTATCTTGAATCTTATATGTTCTGCATGTAAAAAGAAAGCCAAGAAATATCGCGAGTCAGCCTTTTCTTGCCTGGAAAAGGTAAGTAGAGAGTTGCGGCTTATTATGCAAAAATGAAGAGATGGTTCATGATATTATTACAGAGCGTTGTTATTCGGTTAGTGTGTCCTTTGAATAATTTGATTTTATGTTTATCAGGTCATAATAGCTTTTGGCGATCCAGAGTTTTTCAATGCCGTTTTCCCAATGTTGTATGAGATGTGTAATACTGCCTCCGTCAAAACGAATTCTCAAGTTCAGTCTGGTGGTGATGCTGTCAAAACAGGTTGAGCATTATTCCTTTACTTTGATTGATAACACTTTTTCATCATTTGCCTGGTCACGTTGGATACTATGTTGTGTGAAGATCGTTGAAACTTGAGGTTTTGTCTCATCTAGCTGGTTGAAATAGTCAGTTTAACCTCAAGTGTTGCCTCCTGAGGATTATAGTTTGTTTAATCATAAAGACATAAACAGAAATTTGACGAGGAATGATACCTCCCTCCCTTACCTCGATGAATAATAGCTCATATAGGAAATAGGCACTGTGCCAGCAGAGACTTGTTTTGGTAATCTGATCCACCCTTTGTTTTCAGAATCAGAAAATGGAGAAGACGGACAAGTCCCACTTGAGAAAATTATGGAATGCGTCAAGTCATGCATCCAAGTAGCAACCATAGATGACATCCTCAGCAGGAAAGCTGATTTGATCTGTGTTCTTCTAATTTCCTTATCACCTGGTTTTCTATGGAATGGTACTGGTTTCTTCTCTCACACTTTATTTTCCAGAAAACGTTTTATTACCTTTACGGGCTTTTACCAATCTGAATTTCCATTGGCAGTAAAAATGTCTGGGATTTCATGTGTGGGAAAGCTTTGCTCAAGGTTTCAGAGTCTATGGAATGACTCTATGGATGACCTTTTACCTAGTGATGCTACAAAAATCGCTCATGAGGTAACTAATCACATCTACATTGTTTACCCCACACATGTATAGTTTTGATTGCTTTTTGAAATATTCTGCTTGCTTTTTTTTTCTCCAGTTATTTCACTCACTGGTTCCTAAACTACTGGAATGCATACACACAGTGAAGATAGCGCAGGTATGTTCTTCTCTGATTTGTATTAAGTTTCCTCTAACACATTGCACCAAATGAAACTGAAAAAAAATTCATGATTGGGGCATCGATAACTTTAATACTTGGAAGTTGGTATCCTTATTTGGTTTTAGTCAGGGTAACTTGATGTAAGTCTCATTTGTTAGTTCTAGTTTACTTGCATTAAGACTTCTTCTCAAGTCATTAATTAGTTATCATGAGCTTTATGAGGTTTTGTTTATAAAGGAAGAGCGCTTTATAGTCCGGTCTAGAATATGTTGTTTTATTTCACAAGATTACACCGGCCAATGGTTTACATATGACAATCCTTTTTGATGATCTTCTCATTATCATTTGCATGACCTGAAATAATATATGATGGAAATGTCACTTGAGAAAATGATTTGTAGTATAATATCTCTCGTCTTCCTGATAAAAATCCTCAGGTTCACGTGGCTGCTTCGCAATGCATGCTTGAGCTCGTGGAAGTGTATAGGAAGGTATCGTCGTTGCATCCTGTGGAAGTAGATTTCAAGGGTGAGATTAACTCTTTGATTGAACTAGAGAAGAGTGAAGAGGCGAAGTCGTTGTTGAGAAAATCCAGAGATGCGCTTGCAAATCTCCCCTCGTTAAACTAAGTAAAAAAAGCTCTGAGAAGAGTGTACTTTCCATTATGTGATACAAGTTCTCCATTTTAAAATAGACAATGTCGTCTGAAACCGACAATGTTGTTACAACATTGTTGTATCAAGAGATGTAGACAAGTTAGTTCTCCATATATCAAACCTTTTTTTTCTGGAATCCGTCATTCAGACAAGAAGAAAAACTAAATAGCCTTGTCACTTTTGTTGTATTTCGAGTATGTATGAAGTAATTGTTGTTCTCCCTCCTTCAATCTTGTTCAGCAGCCTCTCATCCTTAAAATCCCACTAATAGATTTTATCAAACACAAAGTCTCATCAGTGAGCTCAGATACACAAACTTTTGTTTCGGTTTAGATTTTAACCGGACTTCGTTCATTTGTCAACTTTGTTTCTCTAAACGTTTATGGGTTCCCAACCAAGTGGGGTAAAGTGGAGTTTGGGTGCAAGACGTAAACCTATCGATCTTAGAACCAAATTATGTCAGGAGCTAAATTGTTATTTGCGTGGCCAGATAAAAATAAGAGTTATGTTTTAGGCCTCACTAGACAATCTTGATCCGGACTACTTGTCGATATTGTTTCTCTTTTAGAGAACTAGATGGACCTCGTTTTTTTAAGATAACTGTTTGCTTTAGTTAATTCAAGTATCTCTAACAATAGAAGTTTTACTGAACTTTTTACTAACCATATTCAAAAAAAAAAAAAAAAAGTAAGTCTGTTATTCTCTCTCTCTCTCTCTCAAATTTCCCGGGAAATAATGTTTACCCTTTCTCTCTCTCTTTCAATGAATGTTCTTAGGTGTTATTTTCTCCCACATTGATTCCTCAGAAATCAATTTTGTCACAGACTTCACGATTGTTTACCTGTTTGATTCTTATTTCTGAATCCACCCCACTTCTTTTCTCTCTTTCAAATCAGAAACAGAGAAAGGTTGTTCCTGTGTTACAAAAAAACAAAAAAAAAAAAAGAGAGAGAAAGGTTGTTCCTCTTTTTTTTCTTCATCTCCAGATGTCACATTTGGTTTGCGGTAAAGAAGAAAAGAAAAAGTTTTTGATTCATTCTCCTGAATCCTGATGATGGCTTTTTTGAATTCTGTGTTGAGACATTGTAGCCTCCTCTACATTTTGTTTCTCTCCCTATCTTTGTGTTTCCTCCTCGTCAAATCACAAGAAACGTCTCTCTTCACAGAATCTCCTCCTCCACCTCCACCTCCACCTCCACCTCCACCACCACCACCTCCGCCACCACCTCCTCCAATACCACCACCTCCTCCTCCTCCAATACTGTCACCACTGCCTTCAGCACCTCCTCCACTTGACAATGAGACAGATATTTTACCACCTCCTCCAGTAGCAGAGATAATTGCGCCTCTGTCTTCACCTGCTCCTCAACCGCAGCCGAGTTCAGAACCACTCCCACCACCTGCTCCTCAACCGCAGCCACAGGGGCCGAGTTCAGAACCCCTTCCACGGCCTCCTGAGCCACAGCAGTTTAAATCACCGGAGGAACCGAAAAGAGGTGGATTAAACAAAGGGGAGATGGTAGGACTAGTCTTTGCAGGGTTAGTAGCAATGTTGCAGGTCTTGGTTGTTGCCTTCTTGGTTCTCAAAAGAAGGCAACTTCTTAGGCTTAAAGAAACTCAATAACAGATGCTAACAATGTCTGAATTAACACAAGCTCACTTTGTTAGTTTCAGAGGTCATTTAACATAACTAATGTTGATTAGAGTGGAGAAACTACAAATTTGTAATTTCTCTTGGGATTGTTTTATGATTTGCACAAATGGTTTCTTCTTTCTGATTTTGAGTACCACCACTGTTATCTTGGTCGATCATAAATCCCCCTATAGTTAGTTGGATGTGGTGTGTTCCAAGGTACATTGTTATGAAATGATGATGGTTCAAACAACATTTCTATATAGATATCCTCCAATAGTTTTATGTATAACGATGGCGCTTATGTACAAAAGACAAACCAAAACTTTGAATCTAAAAGGACTAATCAGTAAGCAGTACCTTCTCTTTGAAACCTCACAACATTCTCTTTTTCATCAACACTAGAAAACTTTTACTTGCTGAAACAGGCTTGGAGTTGTTTTCTTTAGGAACCCCCAGAAAGAATATACAACGGAGGACTCTAGCGACCAGAGAAAACAAGAACAAGCACTGTGATCACCAGTGCAACTGTGAATATCAAAGCCTGTGAAAAAAAAAACACAGTTTTGTAGCCCAGTACTCTTATTACAGCTGATAAAGAAAGGATGTGAGAGAGAGAGAGAGATACTGACAGCAATAGCAGAGGCAGCAAGACCAGATCTCTCGCGTGGATCTCTACGGTAATAGCTAGTGAGATATAGAAACGTAGCAAAGTACCAAGCAAAAGGGGAAGAAGAACCCAACAAGAAACCTGACGCACATGGTCAAACCAATCTGCTGCTGCTGCTTTAAGCAAAGACAAGACAATAGTATGTATATGTATATGTAGTAGAAGAAACACACTCACGAGCACCATCCAATTCCAAAACCAAAGCAAGGAAGTGGCCTATAGAAGAGTCCTCCTCCTCATCATCACCATCACGGATCAGAACATACTTTCCTTTCTTTTGTTCCTCTAAATCTGCTCAGCAACACATTTTGATTATATATCAAAAGGTAACAATCAATCATAGAAAGAAAGAAACTGAAATAAATAAATAAAAATGCTCAAAACATTACTTACTCTCATTCAACGAAAGAATATATATATAACACCTGTCACCTCCTACCTGGAGGACAGCATATCATCTCCCATGCGTCATTAAATAACAATATGCCACCCGTCTCTCTCAAGGGCAGCCAATAATATCTCGCAACATAATAGTCCAAAAGCCCAACTACACTCGTCCAAGCCCAAATAAAAATCCTAATAAAAAATCCCAATAGCACCAAGTCCGTCCAAATATCACTTTGTTGTTTGTCTCACCTAAAATGGGGAAGAAAGAGGGGTGAGCGACTGGGAAGTCACTCAGTGAGATATGAGATGTTTCCTCGAAGTCTGTAGACCTGGACATAGCACTCCAAATAAATATAAATTAATCCTAACACGTAGCAAACACGGTACCTAAAGTACCCAAACAACAAGCAATGGTCCTAGCGAGGTGCACACTCGCCGCCCACTCACGGGCCAAAAACACCGCCCACACATTGGCTACAACAACTCGAGATAGTGCTCGGACACCGCCCATAGACGATTTATCGAGACCACCAGGTTACGGCTCAACTGGTCGACTATAGTTGGCCGTAACCTTCAAACAATCCAGCATACGTTAGCACCACCACGCTGTGTATCCGTCTCACACAAATTGGCATACAGTAGCACCACCACGCTCTGTATCCGTCTCACACAATTCTAACTACGAATTTACATTAAGTAAATCAATCAATGTTGAACCCTCTGGCACCCTAATTTCGGTTTAGCAAAGAGCCTAAATAACTAATCAAAGAGACACCAATCAGACTCTAAATGACTTAAATCACGCAGACGGAATATATTATAAATAAAATATATTTATTCGAAATTCTAAACCGCGTAGGAGAAGTTCGGGAATAGACCCTCACCTTAGCAATTGAGAAAAGTGGTATATATGAACTCCAGCTGCTCAAATTGATCTCAAATCTGAAATAAGATCAAAATTCTGAGTCAAAACAGCCTTCGAACGGTCAAAAACGGGTGTCTACGGAAAACTCAACCCTCTGGTCAAAGGTCAATCTGGTAAATTCTGACCCAAGCTGGTCAACCCTTGACCAGATTGAAATCAAACTGGACCAATCGGTTTTTGATTTCAATTAAACCGGATCCAAATCAATTACAAATCGGTTTACTCCTAACCAAAATTCAATTGATTTAACCGCATGTTTACCTTAACCAAAACGCAATTGAATTGAACCGGTTAATCCACCAGTAGAGATGGCAATTGGGCTCTCCCATCCCGTCCCATCCAGAACCGCTGCGGGTTTGTTTTCTAGCGGGATACGGCAGGCCTGTCCCGCGCGGGATGCGGTCTTGAAAACATCTGCCCAATCCCGTACCGCATTTCTTATAGGCCTTCGCGGGCCGTCCTACGGGACGTGTGACAATACGCGCAGTAGAACGATTCAGACCACTCCAAAACGTTTTAGGCCATTAAAGGATATAGTTCAAGTTGTCGATTCAACTGGACATAATTAATCAATCATTGCTTTGCTTATATTCAAAACAATAATTTTAATTCTTTGTATCACACCCAAAACATATTAACATACAAAGTAAAAATAATTGCAGAAGTTATTTTTCATTATCTTATAACACATAAGTTCATAACCAATGTTTTAGTTTTCTGAATCCAAAAATTAAATAAAATGAAACACCAAATCAAAAATGCCAATCCCAATTTAATAAAAAAAAAAAATCAAAATACTACTATAGCTCGAATCGTCATCGCTGGAGTTGTAGTCGTCATCAACGGAGCTCAAATCATTATCACCGAAGCTCGAATCATCATCATCGCCCGAGCTCATTACATATTCTCATGGGAAGTCACATGTATTGTCTTCTTCTCACTCATCATCTCATTTTTTCAAGTAAATAAAGAAAAAAATGCGGGTCCTTGTAATCCCGTGGGACCCGTTTTGGCCCATCCCGCGAGGCCCGCAGATTTTTGGGCTTACAAAATCTCGTCCCAATACCGTCCCCGTCAGTTCTTTACGGGCTAGGCCCGCGGTCCAGATCCATGATTGCCATATCTATCCACCGGTTTACCGAGTCAACCGAGTTGACTCGCTAGGTTGACCCGGCCGAGTTAGCCGAGTCATCGGCGACGGTCACCGGCAGCAACGGTGGTCCAGCAGTGGTCCGGCAGCGGAGCGGTGGTGGTCCAGCAGTGGAGAGACAGCGGTCCGGCGGTGGTCCGGCGGCGGAGACGATTTTCGGCGGTGGCGCGTGGTTTTCACGAGTGTGCTCAGCCAGAATTTAGGAGGCGCGTGTGACTTCATCCGGACTCCGATTGAGGCGTGCTCGGTGTCTATGGCTTCGTCTCGACGAATAGAGCACGGTGGTGGCCTTTGATTCACGATATTTTCAACAGTTCAGAAGTTATCGAAGATTTACTAAACGGACAAAACAAAGCTCTATCCATGGTGGTTTCTGGTGATTCTCATCTGCGGTGAATGGTGGGGACGAGGCCGGAGAGGGCTTGGCGTGCGGTGGTATTGGCGAGCTTCGGTGATCAATTTTCAGCAAGATTCTCTCTCTTTCTCTCTTTCTCTCTTCCTCTCTCTCTCTCTCTTTCTCTCTTCCTCTCCCTCTCTCTCTAATTTCTGATTTTTGCAGCAAAATGAACTGATAGGGTAAAGGTGGGTATTTATAGACAGATATCGGCTTTAACATGCTAACAAGCTCTGTTACTGAGCTTGAGGTCGTTACAATATATATATATGTGTATTTCTCTTCCTACTCACCTAGAAACCTGAAGAACATCATCAAATAGACAAAGTTGAGTCCTTAATTTTAAATATGTTTTTTTTTTCTTTCTATAAAGCACAAAAGGTGATTCCTTTGAATTACTGACCATCTCAGGAACATTAAAAGATATTGGCTTCGAATGGATAACACAAATCAAAAAATGCAGATCAAACAGAAATGCAGATCAAGCAGAACAAATGCAGATCATGCAGATCAAACAGAACAAATGCAAATCAAATTATTTCATTACATTATTATATTTAAATAAGTATTGATTTTTAATGAAAATTAAATATCCAAACACAATACAAATGATTATAAATAAGTATAAATATTATGTTGACAAAATATCAATAAATACCATCATTTTAATAAGTATAGTAGAGTTTAAATTATAAAAAAATTCATCAAAATTACAGTAATTATGAAGAGTATTCTTGTTTTGCTCTTATTTTTCGTATCTTTATTCGATTTTGGTTTTTTCTTATCATTTGGCTCAACTATAGAACTAATATTTTTATATATATGTTAATCTATTAACAAAAAATCTTTATTTTAGTTTTCAAAATAGAAAATGCATAAAGGTATATGCAAGAACAAGAAAATACGTTCAATACTTCCTTGATATTAAGTAATTATAAAATTATATGAAGTTAAATTACGAGTTATCAAATATGAAAGTATGTATATGCATAAATTTATAAAGCTAATTTATATAAAAATATTTACTACTTTTTGAATATATAATACATGATTTTTATTGATCATGTATTTTAAATAAAATGTAAGAATTTAAACAAATATTTTTTATTTTAGTTATATTACAAATTATCAAGATACTAATTTATTTTTGAAATAATATACATGATTTTCACTGGTTATATATTTTATGAATATATAATCTACATATGTATAATTTTCTATAAGCATATTTATAGAAATTAATATAAATAAAACAATATTTATTTAAGTATCATTGTATAAAATATTAAGTGCTTATAAGAAAATATTTTAAATATGTTAATTTTTATTATTCATTGAAAGAAGTAATTTTTAATAATATACCTAGTTTTGTTTTGAATTTTTGAATGAATGTAGATATACGAATCAACTAAAAATATAAAAGAAGTAATTAAACATAATATATAAATACTGCTTTTGTTAAAAAATAAAGTTAACAAAATAAAAATACATGTATATGTAAATATTTTTAAATAATAATTGAATTTTTAAGTAATACTTAATATAGATTCTAACTTATTTGTAATCAATAAATGAAAGATTATAATAGTTATAGATAAATGACTAAAAATAAAAATAAAAAAATAAAGAGAAATGATGTCATTGGTCATGTGCTTCTTGTCCGTCCCCTTCCTCTCCTCTTTAGTTACAGATCAAAAAAAGCAAAAACAAAATAATCTGCATGCAGTACTTTATCTTTTTATTTTTTTATTTTTGGTTCTGCATTTATATGGTGAATTGGTACAAATTGCAGTTCTCTCTGCATCTAAATTTCTTCTGCGTTTGTACTGCATTTGTCCTGCTATACATTCATACACATATTATTTATTTTTGTCCTGCAGTTTTATTTGTGAATGGGAACAAATTGCAGTTCCACCTGTATCTTTATTTCCTCTGCATCTCTCCACTCTCTCTCCTTCGATACATTCAGAGCCTATTGGCTTCGAATGGATAACGCAGATCAAAAAATGCAGATCAAACAGAAATGCAGATCAAGCAGAACAAATGCAGATCATGCAGATCAAGCAGAACAAATGCAAATCAAATTATTTCAATACATTATTATATTTAAATAAGTATTGATTTTTTAATGAAAATTAAATATCCAAACACAATACAAATGATTATAAATAAGTTTAAATATCATGTTGACAAAATATCAATAAATACCATCATTTTAATAAGTATAGTAGAATATAAATTATATAAAAATTCATCATAATTACAGAAATTATGAAGAGTATTCTTGTTTTGCTCTTATTTTTCGTATCTTTATTCGATTTTGGTTTTTTCTTATCATTTGGCTCAACTATAGAACTAATATTTTCATTTTTATATATGTTATTCTATTAACAAAAAATCTTTATTTTAGTTTTCAAAATATAAAATGCATAAAG